CCCTGGGCTCGCGCTCGGCCTCTGAGCCGTCCTCCCCTTCCTGGAGGCAGCACGCGTCTCTGTGCACCTCTGTGTCCACCAGCCTGCTGCCTGCCTGGGGTCGAGAGGGGCCCTCCCGCCCTCCCACCTGCTCGCTGCCCCTCGCAGCCCGAGCGGGCTGCTTCTCACGAGACCACTTTCTGAGGAACGTTGTGGGTCTTCCACGGACTCTGCTCCACTGTACAGGAGCCCCGCCCCTGGTTCGGTGTCTGGTGCTTACCCGAGTCACCGGGACACAAGACCCTTAAACTCCCTGGGCTATCGCAGCCGAAATCCCTGAAACTGTCTTTGGGTGAGTGAAGGTGGTCGTCGTGTGGTCACTCTGAAGACCAGCAAAGGTGTCCCCTCGCACACACCAAGCCAGATGCCTCTCACTTGTGGGAGCCTTCGCCAGGCAATAAGGCAAAAAGCATTCTCAAAGCCGTGCAGTTGGGGCCAGTGCTGTGGCGCAGCAGGTTAACACCCTGGCCTTAGGCCGGCGCCGCGGCTCACTAGGCTAATCCTCTGCCTTGCGGTGCCGGCACACCGGGTTCTAGTCCCGGTCGGGGCACCGGATTCTGTCCCAGTTGCCCCTCTTCCAGTCCAGCTCTCTGCTGTGGCCAGGGAGTGCAGTGGAGGATGGCCCAAGTGCTTGGGCCCTGCACCCCATGGGAGACCAGGATAAGCACCTGGCTCCTGCTATCGGATCAGCGTGGTGCGCTGGCCGCAGAGCGCCGGCCTTGGCAGCCATTGGAAGGTGAACCAATGGCAAAAGAAGACCTTTCTCTGTGTCTCTCTCACTGTCCACTCTGCCTGTCGGAAAAAACAAACAAACAAACAAACAAACAAAAAACACCACAACCCTGGCCTGAAGCGCCGGCATTCCATATGGGTGCTGGTTCCAATCCAGCTCTCTGCTGTGGCCTGGGAAAGCAGAAGATGGCCCAAGTCCTTGGGGCCCTGCACCCACGTGGGAGACCCAGAAGAAGCTCCTGGTTCCTAGCTTCGGATTGGAGCAGCTCCAGCCATTGTGGCCATCTGGGGAGTGAACCAGCAGCTGGAAGACCTCTCTCTCTCTCTGTCTCTCTGCCTCTCTCTATAACTCTTTCAAATAAATAAAATAAACCTAAAAAAAAAAAAAAGCCGTGTGGTTGCAATTCCTCCTTGCTTCACAGTCCTCTCCGTCTGTCTCTCCCTGGCGTTCCCCATAGGCAGCAAACACGCAAACCACAGGCAGCCTCGTCAACACTTGTTGGCCATCTCTGTCTCAACTCACTGCTCAAGGCACTGCTGGTCACACGACTCAGGAAATAAGCTGCAATCCGCTGCTGCCAGTGATGCCCCCTCCTGTGCCCAAAACCACGACCCCACCTCCTCCTGTGTGCAGTGATGCACCCACCTCCTCCTGTGCCCAAAAACACGACCCCACCTCCTCCTGTGCCCAAAAACATGACCCCACCTCCTCCTGTGTCCAGTGACACCCCCACCTCCTCCTGTGTCCAGTGATGCACCCCCACCTCCTCCTGTGTCCAGTGACACCCCACCTCCTCCTGTGTCCAGTGACACCCCACCTCCTCCTGTGTCCAGTGACACCCCACCTCCTCCTGTGTCCAGTGACACCCCACCTCCTCCTGTGTCCAGTGACACCCCCACCTCCTCCTGTGTCCAGTGACACCCCACCTCCTCCTGTGTCCAGTGACACCCCACCTCCTCCTGTGTCCAGTGACGCACCCCCATCTCTTCCTGTGTCCAGTGACGCACATCTGAACTCCTTTTGCACCCGCGGTGTCCACCTGACTTTCTCTGGACCTCATGCTGCTGCCGTCGAGGTCCAGGCTCCCACCCCAGTCCATTCCCAACCGCCTGGGCTCTGTCCGCCTCAGCCCTCGCCCCTGGTTCGGTTCCAAAGCCACTCACACATTTCGAGTCCCACAGGTCCAGGTGCAGGTGCAGCTCTGCCTGCTGCATGAGTCGCCTCAGACTCCCTGCCCGACAGCGACTCCGTCTGCAGCCCAGAGGGCCCCGTGCAGCACAGCTGGGCCACGCTGTGGGTCCCAGAGGCTGGGGTGGAGACGCCACACGGGGCTCATCTGAAGCCTGGTCGCTCGTGAGCTACTTCTCACTACTGGCAGGATCCGTTCCCAATCACAAATGCACAGCCACAGACACCTACGCACCTGAACATTGAGAAAACTCCTATCACACAACTCGTGGGTGAAAGAATAGAGACAAAACTCAAAGAAAAAAGGACAATGAACACACTACCTATCTGAAGATGGAGGATTCATCTGAAGTGGTAATGAAAACAAACAATAAATGCATTTATCAATAAAAATTAAAGAATGAAAATAAGTGAATGAGGGGCCAGTGCTGTTGTGTAGTGGGTAAAGCTGCTGCCTGCAGTGCCGGCATCCCACATGGGCACCGGTTCAAGACCCGGATGCTCCACTTCCAATCCAGCTCCCTGCTGTGGCCTGGGAAAGCAGTAGAAGATGGCCCAAGGCCTTGGAACCCTGCACCACATGGGAGACCAGGAAGAACTCCTGGCTTCAGATGGGCCCAGTTCCAGCCGTTTTGGCCATTTGGGGAGTGAACCAGTGGATGGAAAACCTGTCTCTCTTTCCACCTCTGCATCTCTAACTCTGCCTTTCAAATAAATAAATAAATCTTTTAAAAAAAAATAGTGAATGAACTTTCTACCTCAAAAATAAAAGTAGAAAAAGAATAGCAAAGTAACCCAAAAGAAAGCTGTATAGAGGAAATGATTAAGAAGCAGAAATTAATTAGACAGAATTACAAATAGCAAGGACCAATAACCAAACTTACGCTTTTCTAATTAACAAAAGAGACATAGAACTAACTAGCTTAATTTGGAAGAAAAGGGAGAAATCACAAACTTAAATAAGAAATGATGTAGGAAAAACGATCATTGAACAAGCAGAATCAAATCTGTATGTAAAACAAGAGCACTCTGCAAACATTTGTAGAAATAAATTTGAAAACCCACATGAGACGGACATCGTTCTAGGGATGCAGGAATTACCAAAATCGTGCCAGCAGAGTGAGAAAGCATTGGCTGGGGAGGCGGAGGAAGGTGTTAAAGAACTCCTGGCGGGGCTGGCACTGAGGGGCAGTGGGCCAAGTCGCAATCCAGCTGCTCCACTTCTCATGGAGCTTCCTGCCAATGCGCCTAGGAAGACACCAAACGATGGCCCAAGTGCTCCTGCCACCCGTGCAGGGGACCCGGAGGCAGCTCCTGGCTCCAGACATCTGGCCCAGCCCTGGCCGCTGTGGCGAACTGGGGAGTGAACCAGCAGATGGAAGACCTCGCTCCCTCCCTCTCTCTCCCTCTCTCCCTTTCTCCCCATCTCTCCCTCTCTTCCTGTAACTCACCTTTCAAATAAATATATCTGTAAAAAGAAAGAGGGAGAGAGAGAGGGAGGGAGAGAGAGAGAGAGAAGAAGAAGAAGGAGGAGGAGGAGGAGGAGGGGGGGGGGGAGGAGAAGGAGGAGGAGGAGGAGGGAGGGAGGGAGGGAACCAGCATTGACAAAATTCTATGACCAGTGGTTTCAAGAGAATTTCAGGGGCCAGGGAGCCCGGTGTTCCAGACTCTCCCAGAACACTGAGAGACTTCCTGATCCTCAAGGAAGCGTGTGCAGCACGGACGCCTCAGCCAGGAAAAGACCCTGCAGTGACAGAACATCACAGGCAAACCGGGGCAATGCTCTGAGTGTCACCCATAAAGGCCCAGCACCCCTAATCTGTAAACAGCTCTTACAGGAAAAGTACAAAATGTGTGTAGAAAAACTTGGAGAAAGATACAAACAAATAATTCACAATTAAGAGACAGAAGTGACTCTTAGCTACGTGAAAGAATGTTCTCAATTGTGATCAGGGCTGGCGTTGCGGCGCCAGAGTTAAGCCACCACCTGCGACGCCCACAATCCCATCCTGGGGCTCCCTAAAGACTCGGCTGCTTCGCTTCCAAGCCAGCTTCCTGCGGGTGCACCTGGGAAGGCAGTGGAGGACGGCCCAGGTGCTCGGTCCCCTCGCCACTGCATCCAAGCCCCGGACGGAGCTCCTGGTTCCTGACTTCGGCCTGTCCACTGCATGGCTCTTACAACCATTTGGGGGTTACCCAGTGAGTGGAAGACCTTTCTCTGTCTGTTTCCCTCTCTCTGTCTCTCTCTCTGTGTCTCCCTCAAACACATACACTCTCACTCTCACTCTGCTTTTCAAATAAATAAATAAATATTTTAAAAGATCTTGTGATTAAATTCCACTCAAATAACACTGACAAAAAGTTTCTATCAGCTTGAAGAGCACAAAGGAAGCTGTAAAACGTGACACAGGTGAGCCGGGAGCAGGCACACACACTCACATGTTACTAGTGAGAACCCACGTCGGCATAATCCTTCCAGGGCAAACAGGACAACACCTGACAAAAACCACACGCCCCTGACCTTTCAACTCCAGAATCTGCCTGTTAGGAATTTATCCTGAAGGTGAGCCTTCACCAGTGTGGAAGTACATGGACACACGCTTATTCATCGCAAGAATGTGCCTGAATCACTGGTTTCTGCAAACAGTGCAGAAGTCAGGGACAGGAGGCTGAGGAGACCCGCCCCTGCAGGGCTGGGCGAGGAGGGGGCAGAGCTGCCTGTCTGTCTACTGGTGCTGTGTCTCTCTCTGACTGGACACGTCAATCAGAGGAAGTAGAGGACTCCGTCACACGCCCGTCACGCACCCCAAAAAACCCAGCCAGGATGTGAGGATGCCACCCACAGTGGACTCCATGAGCCCACTGGATCCAACCTAATAACTGAACCCCACTGGGAATGGAATCTCAACAAGACAGCAAAGGGAAGGGGAAAACAAAACAAACAAAGCACAACGATGCTAAGACGCCGTTTAATTTCTTAGTGCAGCGTCACGGGGCTCTCGGGAGTTCTAGAATCCCTCTTTATGCACTAACACTGAACAAATAAGGCAATATGACACAGGTGGCACCAGCTGGGTCCCTCAACGAGGGAGAGAGAAATTACAAAAAGGTAAAAGTAGAAACACCCTGGCGTCAAAGCAGAGCTGAGTGCGGTCAGGGCCCTGGAGACCCGCAGTGATGGGAGCGAAGCCACCACGAGGGGGTCAGCACAGACACGGCGGGAAGGAGCAGCCCTGGGACGTTAAGGCCGTGCAGCAGGGGAGGAGGCGTAGAACCGCAGGGACGTGGAGAGCGTGAGGATGGCCCGGTGCAGACGCTGAGGTTCAGGAACGCGCATCCTCCTGCCACCGGCTTGCTCCACTTTGCGCAGTAGCCGACCACGGATGAACCAGGTGTCCCTCAGGGCAGGCCTGGCTCTTCTGTGCGACTTAATTCTGTTCCATTTTATGTCTCTACCATGTTTTCCTTTCATTCGTCTTTGACTTTCCAGCCTCTGGAGCCATAAGAAATCAATCTCTGTTCTCCAGCACAGACTGCACTGAGACCAGCCGGTTACAGGAGAATCTGAACTGGCCAAACTCACAGCCACAGAGAGCAGCAGATGATGGCCAGCGGCGGGGAAGAGACGGGCGGACTGCCGTTTGGTGGGGGCAGAGTCTCATCTATGCAGGGTGATTCACCGGGCAACACTGTGCCTGTGATCAGCAACGCCATGTTAGAGACTTAACATCTCATTAGGGGGGTGGACCTCACACGAAATGTCTCATCACGACAAAGTGATGACGTGTGAAAGAGGAAAGCAGTGTGATACGGCATGAACAGGCAGCTCCCAGGGCTGGGCCAGCAGGAAGAAGCCCCGGGGAGAGACGGTGACGGCAGAGGCAGCGCCCTGACTGCAGAGTGCGGTGCGAGGAGCTGAGGGAGACTGGGAAGAGGGTGACGGGTGGTGAACGAGGAAAACTCTGGCAGATAGACACACGGGTGCAGTGCAGCTGGAGGGGTTTTCGGAGCAGGATCAATAAGGGTTTTCTTTCTCCCTGTTTAGTAAGACCAGGCAAATCTCAGCATGCTTGTAGCTTGATGCAACGGACCCGGAGAGAGCAATGCCCGGAGCAGAAAACACCCCCGAGGCTGTGTCCAGGCACAGTGTCCAGGCACAGTGTCCACTGTGTCCAGGCGGAGCGCGCGCGAGAGGAGCCACTCCCACGTTCCCTGCAGCTCAGCCCCCAGTCACAGCTGCGGGGAAGCAACGAGACAGCGGCCCCTGGAGGATGCTCAGCACCTGACCCTACCCGAGGGCGATGTGTTGTTTCCCCATTATCATCGTCGTCATCACTGCCATCTTCACCCTGTGTCCTGCTCAGCTCAACGAGACAGGCCTGGCGCACTGGACAAAGAGAGCGGTGCCGGCCTAGCAGACATCTGTGAGCTTGTGACACTGAGAAGTTCTTTACCGCAAAGTAAGATGTAAAAAGCCGGCCAACCTTCTCCCCCACTCCAGTCACCGGAGGCAGGCAAGGACGCGAGTCCAGTGGGGCAGCAGCTCCTCAGCGGGGACCCTGGCCTGGATCCCATCACCAGAAGGCTCGTGTCTTGACACCAAGAGCAGGAAGCTTGGGAGTGCAAATCAAAGAGCGGTGGCCACTTCCCTGGTGTCTCTGAGACAGGACGTGGCAGCTCAACCTCTGAATCCCAGGATGAAGGTGCAAACGTGGCTCCAGGGGTCTGCCTTCCAACAGACACAGCTGTGGCACCTGGACGCTTCCAGCACACGGGAAAGCAAGGCCCAAGGGAGTGACAACCTCCTGTCGAAGCGGCAGTGACATCCAGGTCGTGCTCAGGTGGAATCCTGAGAGTAAGAGCCCATCGCCAGGGGCCACAGCCGTGACGCCTGGCAGAACGGCCACGGTTGTCCTAGGAGGAATCAGGCGCAACAGCACAGCTGAGCCCGGAGGACCTCGCGGTAAGGGAAATACTCCAGGCACAGAAACACAAAGCCTGCGGGCTCTCACCTGTGTGTGGAATCCAGTAAAAAAGTCCAACTCCTAGAAACTGAGAGAGGAACGGGGTGACCGGGTGGGGGTGGAGGAAGCAGGGAGCTGCCTTCAACAGGCACGGGCTTCGTGTCTGGTGTTTGCAGAGCCGGCCTTCGTTGTCTGGAGAGCCACACCCAGCTGCTGCAGCTGCAAGGTGCATGGCTCGGGGTGGGGGGGGCAGCGACAGCAGACAGTGGGGAGAGAGACCAGAGACTGCCGACGTGGGCGGACACAAAAGGACACACAGGACAGAAAACAGGAGAACACGGCAGCCCGGAAGCCAGGTGAAAACACGCGTTCTGGAAAGGAGGGAGCCGGCGGCTCTGCTGGGCCGTGAGCGAGGATGCTGACAGGTCAAGTGCTTTGCGGTGACCTCGGGCAAACAGTGCTAAGTGGCAGGAGGAATCGCGATCACTCTTCATTTTTTTCTAATGTTTTTCACAGCTTCCAAATATTTGGACTTGGCCTGGGCAACTTTTCCTGTTTAGACATTATGGCCCCATTTAATTTTCAGAACATTTTCTAAATCTCAAAATATGCTAACCACTGAAGGATGTCAACATTGAGAAATGAGAAAATAAAGCAAGGACTATATATATATATATTCTTCCTCTTATATATGTTTTATTGCTTTGCAATAACGGTATCTCTATTCTAATTACATAGTATGTAGCCTGGGGTGAGAAGAATCCTGATAACCCATTTGGGGCTTTCCAGTTGAAATTCAATTTCTTCATATAGTTGGAATCCCCTGCAACTCTGTGTGTGTGTGTGTGTGTGTGTGTGTGAGAGAGAGAGAGAGAGAGAGAGAGAGAGAGAGTCCCATTCATTACCCTGTCTCATTTGGAATGAGATTGGACAGTTGTTGCTCCATTTACTAAGCTGCCAGGATGCCACTGAACTGGTTCTCTGGGGGTTACCTGGTGCTGTGGACTGAATTTGTGTCCCCTGCTATGCTTGTTAAACTCCTAATCCCCCGAGTGACTGCATTTGGTGACACATTCTGGAAGGAGGTAGTGAGGCTCAAGTGAGCACTGGTATAGGTGTAGGGTCCTCGCGGAAGCCACGGGGAGTTCAGCCTGTAGCCTGGAAGACAGCCCTGGCCGAACCCTGCGGGGCCCGGATTGTGGCTCTGCAGGGCAATGGGAAGGTGGATTCCTGCTGCTCCATGCCCTGGCCCTGGTGTTCTGATACGGCGGCCCTGGTAGGTGAGACAGTCGCGGCCCAGTCCCACCCTCCACGGCCCCGGATCTGTGCCGTACTCATACCGAGCAAATGTGTTTACGTTTGGTATGGCACTCTTCTACCCCAACAGATTTAACAAATGTTTTAGCACAGAAAGTCTGCATTTGTTACGTGCCAGGGACTTTTCTATGTGCTAGAGATGCAGAGGCGAACTAGACCCAGGGGAGCCTCACTTGCAGCTCCCAGGGAGGACAAGGAGGGACGGCACGGAGACACACACAGACACACACAGACACACACACACACACCCGTGACCACACAGCTGGAGCTCACGCACGCAGACAAGTTGATTCCACCTCACCCGGCCTTGCTCCCATGCCTGGGAAGATTTTGCAAGAGTTATTCAAATTTTCTTCTCCAAAAAACCCAGGGACAAAAATGCCATCAGAGAACCACTTGTACTCCTAGTCTTCTGGCTTCGTCTCATATAAACAAATGAGGGGACTTGGTACGGCGAGGTCAGCCTCCACGTGGAATGCCCACAGCCCTGCCCCCCATCCAGGCTCAAGTCTGGCTCCTCCTCTTCTGGTTCAGCTTCCTGCAAATGCATCCTGGGAGGGAACAGGGGATGCTCGGGCGCTTGGGCCCCTGCCAGCCACGTGGGGGACTGTGATGGGTCCCAGTCTCCCTGTTTGGGCCTGGCCCGCCCTTGGATGCTATTGGCATTTGGGAGTGAACCAGCAGATGGGAGATTCTCTCTCTCTCTCTCTCTCTCTCTCTCTCTCTCTCTCTCTCTTTCTGCCTTTCAGGCAGATGGAAGTAATTAATTTTTTAAAACAATTAAATAACTTTTTAGAAGCTTTGTTTCAAAAATAAAAGGATATCCTGTGTGCCCCTTGAGGAATGGGCATGCTTCCTTGTTTCAGCACACACAG